TCAAAAAGCAGATCTGCTATCACCTTCTCCCTCCTTGTTGCATGTTAGCCTCCTGGACGACGTTGGCTGTGTTGAGGCTCACACTCGAGAAGTTCATGAGTTGAAGAAAATAGTTTATCCTCAACCAATTTGTCTAGCAAGCAAGCCTGTTTTTCCTCATCTTTACGTCTACGAAAGTCACGTGTGTTCGTAAGAGAATGAAGTAATTTTTGCCATTTAGCATCTTCTCCCCTCCATTTTGGGTCGAAGCCAACAATATTGTGGGCAGTTCAGCTGCCGTCATTGCTCCCTGATGTCATACAACAGCACTCATCTAGCAGAGGCAAGGTATCGATGGAATGTTTGCAGAAAGAATTACTCAATTTTCAGTATAAATATTTGGAAGCTTTTTAAAAGTACTCGAGACAAGGTCAATTCTCCTGTTCAACTCTGGCTAGACGCTGCCTGGCTGGATGGCTGGATGATGGAGCCGAGGAACTTAAATTTACTACGATTGTGAATGAATATGTCTGAAAAATGAGGGAAACCGTCTGTGTCGGCGCTTACAGTTTTGTCCTGTTTTCAATATCCTCGACCTGAATCAGACTGTTGGATAACTGACTCCATTATATCGAAATTACTAATACTGATTAAAATATGAGCGGATAAAAAATAGTGCTGAGTTTAATGCTTTAATTACACCGTTGTATATGGTAGTAAAGTTTGAGCGTTTTAAAGCGCGTTCTAAGGACTGTCGCACATTTTCTCCAACAATAGCGCACCTGATGGATTCTGAGAAAAGCCAGTTTACAGAGAAAAAGTAGTCAAACAAGGCGTGAATGTCCTTTAACTACCGTCCATTTGTTGTCAAAGGCCTTCCACCTGCCGAAGGTGGCATGTTGCTGTTAATCCAATTGCACGTTAGCAACTGCGACCTGATCATCATCATCAGTGATCACTTTGCACTGCATGTGATTTCTACCCTGGGGACTGCTTACACTCGATTGTGAGGACGCTGAGAATGGATTGATAGGAGCAACAGGGGTCATCAGCAGCTGGTTCAGTGTCTTCCACGTTGTTTGCTTGCATCCACGGAACGTGACTAAAGTATATACAAGATGTTAAAAAGCAGTGCTGAAAGATAGTCAGCATCCCTTGTCAACCTTTAAATATTTAACAGCGGTTTCCAACACCCGCGACAGAAATTCGATGACATTTATTATGATACTTCAACCCATGCAAGTTGCTTTTAAGTGGAGATTATTTACGATATGTTTGTTTCGTTTAGCGCTATCGTTTAGCGTGCAAATCAACTTAGCGACAGCGATTTGAGTTATTACTTCGCAGGTGGCTTATGGATAATTTATTTATTTGCATAAATTAATACGACAAACTACCAAGGCAACATTCGTGATTTTGACTCTGGTTCGTATGGTAAACATGTCATGCTTACCGCTGGCCAAAGAGGCTGATGTGCATAGTCAAGGAAATGAACCTTTGTATAAATAAGAATTCTGAAGTCTCTCTTTTCCTCATGCTTCCTACCTCTCTCTTTGATATATGCTAACGTGGCACTCTTCGCTGATGAAATTGGTGACGGGGTCCTGATCCCTGTTTTGATGCAAGACAGTAGTAATTCTTATTATGAATATTCACCATCGCAGTACCAATGATATGGGATTGCAGCGAGTACGGCCAGGTGGCTGCCATGTAATATAATATCTGGCATCTTGTCACACTGTGCTCTCATTTATTTGCGTCGCGGGAAATAAAGAGCGATTCGAATGTCTTATCATTTGGCCGCAAATACAGCGCTCTGCTGACCAAGCAAAATTTGTAAAGGTCCACTGTAAATTTTATCATATGCTTCGTTATTATTACAATACTATCAACAACTTTGTCAGAGCTGAAACTGTTTTAGCTTTGAAGGATTTTTGGGGCCATCTTTCACTTTTCTGGTTTGACCTACTGTCAGGTAACGAAGCGATTGGGATCCCACGTAACTGAGCTCTGAGTCACTCCAATGCTTGACGTAACAGCATTGAACTCGAATTGTCTAAAGAGTAAACAAATTAATATTTTGCACACGAGATTCATCATATCATTAACTTTGGAGGGTGGCAT